AAATTCTTTGTTATTCCGACTTTCAATTATTTTGGCATTGACAGTGAAGGTTGTAGTTTTCGAACAAGTAAATTTCCGGTTTGAATTGTAAAATTTCAAAATTCTGATTTGCACACTGTTTCAAATAAAAAAAAAAAGTAGGTAAGAATAAGTATTCAATTTTAAAACGAATGTACATTTAAAAGGAAAAGGGTTAACTATGGAGTTATCGTAGAATTATGAAATTGCGTTATTTCGGCGTGAATTTAATATTTTTTAACCGACGAGCAAAGTGAATTTAGCCAGGAGGGAACTCTTATTTCCCGCGAAATTGAGGGGATTTTTTCTATAGAACGCTATTCACGGCCATCATATTGTAATATATATCGGTCCTCGCCACGGAGTTCACCGCTTTATATTTTCTTTTTTATACTTGGCCTACCGACACGAATCCCTGATTTGCATCGAACTGCAATCTCTTCCTCGAAGAGAATCAAATGAATTCGAGCCGATGTAAGAAACGGGAAATATCTGGAAAGGCTCGTAAATACTCGCGGAACAATATCGAAACACGAAAGAAACTCTTTGTATAGCAAAGAAACTTGGTAATTCAGTCTTTTTTATTCTCAACGAGGGTCGATTTTTTTCGCTCCATCACCCAAGTAAAATATTATGTCTCTAAGAACGATGTTTCTACAGTGTTTATCGAGCATGAAATTTATATCCGTAGTAACAATGCTAACGGTATTAATTATTTCGTAAAATTATCCACTGCAGAAATTGTAACATCTTTTCATTCTTCGAAAATCATTCAACATAACATGAAAATTATACTTCTAGAGAATGTTTAAGTCTGAAATTTGTCCCTGCAGACTTTTACGAAATTGTTGATTACAAAATTTACAGCGACAGTGACAGTGATAAGAACAAAAGCCCCAATTTTCTACGCAAAATTATCAGCACAACAATCGTCACAATACTAAAACATCATTTATAATACAATCTAAATTCTAATCTAAATAAAACATAAACTCTGCAAAATTATTAATCACGAATATTATCTCCACAATTAAACATTAGTTTATGAAATTAACAACTATTTCCACAAAAATTGTGCTTACAGTGACAAGTAACGATGCAGAATTTGTTGCAGAGAATTATCCAGCATGAAGCTGCTCGAGTCGACAGGGACGGCGGTAATAATGCTAATTTTCCTCGCGAAATTACTCACGTCGCGGAAAATGTAATTTTGTCAGGATGAAAGGAGCCCCGTGAAACGAAAGAATAAGGGGAAAAGAGGAGAGGGAGATAGGTTAGGTTCGCGGTATGATGCGGTAGGAATGCAATAATCGCGCGTAAACGTGTGTCCCCGTCGGCTGTAAACAGTTATCGCGTCGATGGTCGACTGCGCACAGCTATCAATCACTGTGCACGAATTAATGGACCGTTAAAAATGCACTGGCGTCGAAGTATGCGGTGTGCCGGGCGAGACTCGACTGAAACGCGATCGATAGCTCGATGGGACACGCGTCCTGCCACTGTTTGCACGAATTATGTTTAGAGACAAGTCTCGTTCAATTCCCGTCTCTCCCTCAGAAATCTCCCTTTTCTAACCTACATTGCGAACTTCGCGACAATTCGAAATGGGGGCGAAAAGAAATTGAAACGGTACGAAGAGAGAAACTATAAATTTTGCAGGTTATCTGCTGTAAAATAAATTTTTCGCAATTTTTATGACGAAATAGAGAATCGAAGGGTTTCGATAGAATTTTTTTACAGCTGAATTTATGTTTGTTATGTACGCAGCGGATCATATCGTGTTTAGAATTGCGATATTTCTGATGAATGTGAAATTAAAGTGATATACGTGTGTCTGGCTGTATACCGACCTGTACTACTGAAATTGGTCGATTTTTAATTCTTCCTTTATTTCTTATCTCTGAAAATAGCAATGTATGGGATTTTTGATTGGACAGCGTCGAAATTAATGATCCTGCATGGAAATTTATTGGATGAGAATAATGTGCCGTGAAATCTTCAAGTACATAATTGAGAAGAATTTTGTATTTAACTTTGTACTACTTAGAAATGTGTAGAACTTCATATATCGATCTGTACTACTGAATTTCGTGTATTTTGACTTCCTTCTGTCTCCAAATCACGATTTATAAAGTCCTGGATTTCTCGGACCTCAATTTTTTTAATTCCATTTTTTTCAAATAATGATTTTACATGGAAATTATGCAAAAAAATAATGTTGCAAATTTTATTGAATTTTGTACTTAGTAACATTACTCCAAGAAATTCTCATATAAGTTTCTGACAAATCTGAAAAGGAAGATTTTCTAATTCTGCGAATGATATGAAAATCGTTCGATTTTTCTGCTGCGAAATAATTAGAGTTAAACGTGTGCAGGATGTATTTCATCGTGGCCAGTGAAAGACGTACTCGACAGTCGCGTAATTAAATTTATAGCAGTCTGCCGTCGGAGGGAAAAAAGCGCGGGAAGTTTACGCGTAGCTTGGTTATCCGTGCGCGAGAACTTGGCGAACTTGAAGAGTCCGGAATGAGTTTCTAGTCGTATTATGCGCTTCGAGGTTCGAATAACCGCATTAGCGACGGAGTTATATTATTTCGAAAGCAGAATAAAGCCTTCGCTGCCTGTTCTACGACGTTTAATCATATTTAACTTCCACTGCTGGATCAAACTCGTCGAATGTAATTTGGAATTTTTTGTTACCTCGTCATTGATCGATGGACGACGCTTTCAGTGATCATTGGCGAAACACCGGCGATGATGAAATCGCGTTTCGATGGCGAGAAATATTATTGATAAATATTATTGATCGAAGTATGAGAACCCGATGTGTTTCGAATTGGAAAATTTTAGGAAATTTCGGAAAATTTTGCAAAACAGAATGGAATATCGTAGAAAGTACTATAAAAGTGATAGAAATTGAAATTATACGTGCATATAAGAATTTATTTGAAATCTTCGAAAGTGAACAGTGAATCAATTTTTACTTGTTGCAATTTTTTTGGGAAATTAAATGAAAATTTATAAATTGAATACTTTTGAATCAATTTTATCAATGTTCTAACAAACTGGTTTGTTTGTTTGTTTTAGTACATTCGCCGGCACTATGCACGTTCCCGTCTTGGGTGATTGAGAATAAAATATGGATGGCTTTGGACCCGATAACGTCTCGGCTGCTAGCGTCGCCTTACAATCTGACGATCCTCAATCGTAAGGAGACTCGTCTTGTGTGTCACTCTGTGGTCCCGCTTAACGACCATCATCACCCGTTGAATCCAGACAGAGAGAACCAGGTGCAGTACGTCGCTAAGGCCACTCTTGATTGGTGAGTCGTTGAACTTCAGTTATTATCAATTAAACGTAAGACTGATTCTTTATGTTGAGAATAGTTTAAGTTACAATTATAACTGAAATCCGATACGTTCCTAAATGGGGAACAACGTCGTAGGATCATTTAAGCCCTTTGTGGTGTAGCGAATTAAATTGAGATTTTATCAGAATTTAAGAATTCAAAGTTCAAAGTCCAAAGTTTAAGATTGAAAGTTTTAAGGTTCAAAAGAGGAAGTCTCTGAAATTGAAATTCAAATGTCTAAAAGTCCTAAGTGCAGAAATTAAGAATCCAGAAGACTAAGTTCTAAGATCCAATGATTCAAGAGTCCAAAAATCGAAAGTTGAAGGTGCAATGATCCAAGAATAATCCAAGAGACGACAAGTGCAATTTTTCAAGGATCCAAGAATCCAGGAGTCCAGCGCTGGAGATCCAAGAGTCGAAGAATGCAAAGTCCAAGCGTCCAAAAATCCAAAAGTTCCAGTATCCAAAGTCCAAGAGTCCAAAAATCCAAAGGTGAAAGAATCCAAGTGTCCAATGTCTAGGATCCAAGAGATCAGTATTCCAAAGTAAAAATCCAGAATTCCATAAGTCCAATGCTCAGAGTCCAAGATCCAAGAATCCACCGTTCATGGTCCAAGAGTCCAAAGTCTAGGATCCGAGAGATCAGTATTCCAAAGTAAAAATCCAGAACTTCGTATGTCCAATGTTCAGAGTCCAAAATCCAAGATCCAAGGATCCATCGTCCTTGATCCAAGACAAAAAGTGTTCAGGATCAGAAACTTATCTTCTATTTCTAAAATTCCCCCATAATTCAATTCGAACTTCTTCCATAAGAGGCTTCCCGTCCCATTCTCTATTGCCCCATTGAAACCTGCTAACTACACGAACTTCCAAATGTACCATGACACAAAAATTACACTACTGCTTCTTTGTCCCACTTTGAAACACCAATCTACCCGTCATTTCATCAATTACTCCACGAATGTCCGTAAACACCCTCTGCACCCCTAGCAAAAGTACCAAAAAGTCGTCGAAAACTTTGGTGCACCCAAACGTGTCGTCGTTTACGTTTCACTGGAGCAACAAACAACGGGGCAAAGCGTTCACACGTACACGCGAGAAACACGGCGTGTAATTATGACGGTATGCCGCGATAATCCTTTCATCGCATACCGAAGACACTCGTGCGCGCATAAATAAACAGCTTGCGTCGGATTAAACAGAGATCCTCTGGTTCCGGTTGCTACACGCGTCGGAATGTCAATATATGTAGCCTGCACTCAGCCACTCTCCTCTCGTTGAAGCACTCGTGCAGCCGAGTTCGCGCTACGTAACGTATCGCTTTTAATCGTCCGTGCTCCCGTCTCTAACGGGTGTCCCATTACTTTGTGACCAGCTGCAATGTTCGTCGAAATGAGCATAGCTGTTCCTTGCTTGTCTCCTGTTGGCTGTTTCCCGGTAGTACTTCATTTTCCACAATCGTGTCGATTCAATTAATCTTAATTCTCGCAATTAGGGACAAGTTTCGATATTTTTGTCGTTGTTGCTGCAATAATTTGAAAGTATCGTAAATTTATAATTCAACGGGAAATTAAATTTTCATTTTTCAATTTTGGCAATATGTTTCGATAGTTCTTCGTTGTTGCAATAATTGAATGTATTTTTAGTCTATAATTGCAGAAACAGTGATGCGTTTTTGAACAGAATTTTTGAGAATTTCTGATGCATATCGGAGGGAAACAGTAATTGAAGATTCAGGTTAAAACGAATCGTCGATTGCATTTGAAATGAAACATGGCGTTCGATTATATCATTGCAAGTAGGTCAAGCGTAGGAGCACTAAGTAGCGAGGGACCGTATATGGTCAGACGTAGGTTCGTTCAAGGGGAGAATTAGTCTTCCCCGTTTTTCTTCCTTTTCTCCTTGCGGTGAAAGACTTAATGGTGAACATTCCTCGAGCAGCTGGAAGTTTCCTCTGCAACTCCATTCACTGTGGGGAACAGTCTTGAGAAACAGCTCCATTAATAGATCGAAATCGAGTTTCGCTAATCTCATGGCGAATTAAATCTCCCTAAAACATAAAAGTGCATTATATGTACTTGATGAATTTATCATTAAGTTATAATTAAATACAAAATATTATTACTAAATAATAATTAAATATTTTATTAAATTCATGTTATATTTATTCCTCTCGCACTGTTGCAAGTGAAAAATATCATATTCGTCGTAAATACTGGACAGTACTTTGATATTCAACAGTTAATATAGTTTAATGTAATTCGTGTGAAACGATTCTATGTAATATAGTAAATAAAAAAATGTTACGTTACGTGAGATGTAATAATTACTTCTAACAATTTTTCACCGACGAAGGAATAATGTTTAAACAGCTCTTCTGTTCTCTATGTTTTTCCTTTTTTGTCAAACATTCGCCATGAATTTTCAATGTCGATACACTCGAAAACGAAACAGCGTATGAAAACACACTACTCCACATTTTCACGTCGAATCACCTTGTCCAACAATTTTTATCCAATTACCAAGGGTCCTCGTGAAATAACAAACTCCCACGAACGCCATACTCTAAAATTACGAATTTCACCAAAACTTCGATCTTCCTTTTATTTCCTCCATTATCGAATCATATTTTATTATTTTATTTATTTACGAGTATAGACCCATCAGAGTACATGATGTACAATGCAAATGGAAGAGAGAGAGGGAGAGAAATGATAATATACAAATTAAAAAAAAAAAGAACAGGAAGAATCAGAAAATTAACAAAAAAGAACCGTAACAATGTGAAATTCAATTCTAACTTGAAATTCGAAAAAAACAATAACGCTGATCATTATAACACTTTACCGACCGGTAGCGGTTGAACATCCTACGCACTTCCGACCGCTCACTCGGCCACAGATACATGGTTGACACCGGCTCTATTTGGACTCTAGGCTATCGCGCGGGAATATATGCTCTTTTTCTTATACTTATAGAAATGTTAAATCAAATTTCGACCGATTAATAGGTTACCGGTCGGTAAGCGTCGGCGGCAAAAGAGCGATTAATAGGTTACCGGTCGGTAAGCGTCGGCGGCAAAAGAGCGATTAATAGGTTACCGGTCGGTAAGTGTTGGCAGCAAAAAGCCGATTAATGGGCTTACCGGTCGGTAAAGTGATAGCAATACATCCAAAAGATAGGAAGAAAATAATGCCACATAAATAAGACGCAAAACAATAATAATAATATTTTATACGAGACTTATGATACAGAACGACAAATTCTCGGTATCGGTCGAATTTTATCAATCGAGAACCACTTTGAATCAATTTCCAATCGTGGCAATATCCTCCCTCCTTATTCGTCGCGAAAATATGAATTCGCGGGGGCTGCCATGGTGGATATAAAAGAATGCCCTTCCAGAGGCATGGTTAGAGAAGGTGGCTGGATGGAAGGAACTCTTGCATGGCGGCGGTTCTCATAAAGTCGCGAGCTGCCGCGTAATCGCGGGTATATTAAAGCGCGAGGAGATCAGGCCGGAAGATTTCGCGAAATAAGAAGGGAAAAGCTGCTGGAGCGATGGGTGACTGCTGAGGGTGCAGGAGTAGGGAGGCAGGGGGGTGGATATATCGCGGCGCCTTTTGTTTCGAGCTTATTAAATGGCGACGATCGAGCCGAACGAACAACGATGTGAAAGGGTTAAAGATTTTTATTGTCAATGTGTTTTCCACTTAACGTTCGTTCCCGTGACTCACACATGCACTATTTTCAGATTATCTTCTTTCACTTTCCATATTGCGTTATCCTTTCTATTGTGGCAAAAAGGGGTAAGTTAAATCATTGTAAGTAATGAGAAACTTATTTCTATACGCCTGTAAAATGATTAAGTGGAAGGCAAAGTTGATCGTATTTGGGACGTCAAGTTGAGAAAAATGTGAGCGTTGAAGGGTTAATTAGAGAAGTTCTGCTTCGATCGTGCATTTTAGAATTCTGTAGTGTGCTCGATTTTTGTTGATAGTAAGTTTGATAACAGGATAATAGGTTAGATAAAATTATTAATAAGGATATAGATAGTTAGACAATAGGTAACCGAAGAATGAGTGTGTGAGTGACAAGACAAAATGGAGCGTGAATGGATAAGGAAACAATACATTGTGAACCAAGTCCTTTTCATAGCCACGAGACTGAAGATAGATAAATAAATAATATTAAATAGTGTGCTCGATTTTTGTACGTAATAATATTCTGCTTGTTAATTTGAAGTTCGTTAATATTGTTCTTAATTTTTATATTTAATAGGTTTATGGATAACTAGAAAAATATTAGCCACGTTTATTCTACGATCTGTTGAAAAGTAAGAAAGGTCATGTGAGGTCATATTAACGATTTTTTAATGGAAATTTTTTAATTTTGAAGATTATAAAACTTAAAATCAAATTTTAGTATATAACACATTTTGTTGGCGAGGAGGAATGTATCACGTCTCCATTCTGTTTCTAGTTCATTAAATTAATATTCAATCGATGATGCTGCAAATGCGCTGTTGCCAGTGATGCGAAATTAAATTAGGCAGCCTGAGTACAGTGGAATCGATAGATAATTAGGCTAGGACGTTGGATTCTATTGAAAAATGGTTTTAGCGTGAAGAATTCAATTCTCTGTTGGAATTGCTGAAGTGTAAATGTTTGCGAAAGTTGAAGATCCTTTCTAGTGTAATTTTAAAGGATTTGGATACTAAACGGGAATCATGAATGAAAAGTGTCTTGGATTTCGGTGTGAACGCTCCGAATCGATTTTCTGATGTTCGTAGTAATTTATGACGGAGAAGATTGGAGATTTTCTGGAATGGAAGGATCTGAAAAAATTATTTGAATATATAGGTTAATATGGGCTTGCAGGGATTAATATAAATTCTGGTTGGATATTATGGAAACGAGTGAAGGCACTATTTTAATTCTCTGGCTAACAGGATTTTATAAAATTACACAAAT